CAGTCAGTGCACATGACTGGGGTGGTGAGCTCGAGCCCCAGGAGGGGGCATGCAGGAGGCGGCCGGTCCATGATTCTCTTTCCTTCTTCCTTCCTCTCTGAAATCAATCCTGTAGAATAAAAGCCTAATATGCTAAGTGTGTAGTCGTCCGGTTGTCCGTCCAACCAATCAAAGCGTAATATGCTAATGATATGCTAAGGCCGCTCAACTGCTCGCTATGACGTGCACTGACCACCAGGGGGCAGACGGTCGACTGATCGACCGGTTGCTATGGCGTGCACTGACCACCAGGGGGCTAGACGCTCCAACTGGTAGGTGAGCTTGCTGATGTGGTCCAGACTGAACGAGACGGGCCAGACACGCCCTGGAGCCCTCCCCTGGTCCCTCCCCAGATGGCTGATCTCCCGTGTCCCTCCCCGGCCCCGATCGTGCACCAGTGGGGTCCCTCGACCTGGCCTGCGCCCTCTCGCCATCCAGGCTGAGGGACCCCCAGCCACCCCGAGTGCACGACTTTCATGCACTGGGCCTCTAGTAAAAATATATTTATTTTTTAAAAAGGAATGCACAGGGGTCCTTGGGGAGGTTATTTTGACCAGAAAGTCTTCATACCGCAGCGTGATCTGGTCCTGAGAAAGGACGGGGGACGGGGGAGCACTGGGTAGAAAGAACCCCAGAATGCACTGCACCCCAAGGAGATCAGCAGCTCCCTGGGGGGCCCCGGCACAAAGATGGCCTGGAGCGGGGGACTGGGTGGGGCCGGTGGCCAGATGCTAGTTCTAGGGCCCGGCCTGCGCCCCTGGCTGGCAGCTTCCCCAGGAGGGGTGTGGCCTCGATTTAAACACGGGGACCCTCGCCCTGGCCAGGTGGCTCAGTGGTTAGAGCACCGGCCCTTAGACTGAAAGGGTCGCGGGTTCGATTTTCCGATCAAGGGCATGTGCCTCGGTTTGCAGGCTCCATGCCCGGCGGGTGCAGGAGGCAGCTGATGGTGGCTTTGATGTTTCTCTCTGTGTCCTCCCCCCCCACCCCTTCGCGCTCTCTCTCTAAATCAATATCCTCGGGTGAGGATTAGCGAACAGGCCACGAAAAGGTAATAAAAAAATGTAGAAAAGAAAATAAACATTTACGCTCCAAGCGGCTCTGTTTGGTCGCATGCCTGTCCTTGACCAGCTCGGAGAGGCCTGCCCGGGGGCCTTGCCCACTCCGAGACCTCAGGTCCCCTCGCCGGAGGGTCTGGCGTGGAAACGTTAACGAAAGGCGTGTCCTGCACCCACTCATCTAGACTAATACCAGGGTAATATGCACCCCTCGCCGGAGGGTCTGGCGTGGAAACGTTAATGAAAGGCGTGTGTGGAGGGAAGTCGTGTTCCAGCCGGGAACTTCCCTGACGAGGTCAGTCTCTACCTTAACGGAGCCGTCTGTCCATCTGCATCTCCGGCAACACCTCCCTGTGAAATGTCGGGGGACGTTGTAACTGCCCTTTTTCCGGACCCCCTCA